TCTTTTAGTGCCGTGATCACTCTTACAATGCTTCAGAAATTCTGTGGCTTTGAAGCTTATGTTTTTGTTTTATTTTGGGGTTAGTGGGCTTGTGTCTCTCACTTTTGCCTGTGAAGTCTCCTTTTGATCCTAATGTCAGCAGCATTGAAATCATATCCTCGAAAAACGTGATTGTAACAAACTCCTGGGAAATGTGACAGTAAATCTAGTTATTTCTACATTGTTTTGCAGTATTAACAGTCTCTAGCAAAAAACAGAAAGTACTAAACTATATGCCACTTTAGCCAATCTCCTTTTATACCTTTTAATGAAAATTCCCAGGACGCCTCTTCAACCTATCCCTCTGTCTTCTCTGTGAAGTGATAAATTTCTATTAATCAGTTTCTCAATCGTATTTGAAAAAGTAAGCCTAAGCTTTTCCTTTCCAAAAAGAAACACAATATTCCTCTTTTTTTAAATCTTTTTTGATTAGTGAGTTCTTTTGATACTTATTTTGTTTTGCCCTGTACTACCTCTAGGTTCCTTTGCATGTTCAATCTTTAAATTTTGAATTAGTTTGTGGTCAGTGTAAATCATCCCTACTTAAAACATTTATCTTTCCTCAGAGATCACCTTTCTGTATCAGATGTTCTGACTGTCTCTCATGTTCCTTCTGTCTGCACTGTAGAGAAGCTGCTTCTAATTTGGATTGTAAAATGCTCATTTAGATGTATACCTGTGTAAAGAGAGTCTCTTCTTTCTCTAACCTTTAAAATTGTACAGGCTGTTGGAGTTTCAGGTGATTGTTGTGGGACCCGGATGCAGTTGAAGTTTTGCTGCTGGTTGGTTCTGTGAGATGCAAGTTGCAGTATTATTGGACAGAGAAGGCTTCCTGGTTTTCAGTCCTCTCCACTCACAAAGAATGTGACTGAAACTTTGTTGTGTGGAGATGTTGGTGTCTAAGGAAGGAAAATTCTGCTCAAGGCTCACTCAAGAGCATAGCAAGCAATTTAAAGGGATACCATTTATGGGTAAAAACAAACAAACCCTCTGGATTTGCCAGAGTTTAGTAGGTCAGATATATTTGCTTAGGATTCAAACAAGGCACCAGAGGACATTTTGTCTCCTTCTTCAGATATGTTAGAGACTTGAGGAGAACTAATCAACATTGAAAGAATTGTGGTGGCTTTCTGGTGACTGCTGTATTTCTGAGAACTAAGCACATCACTGTGCACTTTTCCTTCCAAGTATGGAACATCCTCACTGTAACTGAAGATTTTAGCTGTGTCTTCTTTTACTGCGGAGACAATGCTACTCTTGGTGAAACCGTAACACCCTGAAGCCTGCTCATAAGTGGGAGGAAAATAATTGCACTTTGCATGTCAAGATGCTGTCCTTCATGACATGGTGGTTGTGTTCCTATCTATGTAATTTTCATTGGGAGGCCATAGAGCTACACTTCTCTAGGGAGATCTGATAGACACGTCATAAATAATGTACTCCTTCATGACTCTATTGTAAGATATTAAACTTATTAAGTAGATTAGATTTTTACGTGAAAGTGTTAGAGAAATGACTTTAATTAAATGACTGGATAATACAAGCCCTCTACAAACAGTTACAACTTAATACAGGGTTATTAATCAAAATTGGCATGCATGAACATGCAGTTCTTTCAATATATTTTTATCATGTTGAAGCAAGTAGGTGGAAAATTGAGATTTAGTTACTAAATACTCGAAATACGCTTTGCCACTGTACCTAAGGAAATTACTTTTGACTCATTAGTGCTTCAGAAATGTCATGTCTTTAGAAAAAGATCAATAAACAGAGGAGGGATCAAATTAGTGTTATGGCTTTGTTTTATTCTTTTACTTAATTGTTCACTTGCTAGTGGACTAGACAGTTCAGATATATTTGAGTAAGTGACATCTTTTGGTGTTAGATAGTGACATTGGTAAGTTAGTACAGTATGCTAGTGTCAAATACCATTGCTAGAGTCTCAGCTCAAATGCTTTAAACTAGATAAATGAGTATCTGCGGAAGCTATGGGTGATTTGAAAAGCAATCTACTTGTAAAGCATCTAGATATAAGGTTAGATAGACTAATGTTTGGTACCAGTTCTGAAAACATCCTCCTTAATGTTTTATAATAAACTAGAAGAAGTGATAATGAGAAGAAACTATCATGCTGTTGAGGAAAAAAATAGAAAAAGGTTAAGAATGATAGAATTCCCATAGATTATTCATACAGTTTACCAACAAAAACTAAAATAAAACACTGATTTAGTGAGAATGTAATAGCAGAGGTTGGACTCTTCAGAAAAACTTCAGCTCTTCTGAAATAAGAGTTTTGTGTTGTTCAAGAAAAGCATAAAAATGGCAAGCATTTTGGTAGTTTTATCCTGATCATACAGGCATAAATAAAATATATTTAGTATTTGGTTACGTTCCACTGTAGTGCCACAGAATTCTAAGACTAAGAAGCCTAAATAGGAGTTGTAATACAATCTAAAACAAGGAGAAATAAAAATACATTATAGGCAGTAAGGCTTCACTTTTTGTAAACTCTTCAGCTTTACTTTTTTTCTCCAGTTCTAGAATGGACAAATGTTTCTATGACATAACCTAGCAAATTCTTTCTACATCCTGGTGAAATGTAACTTGGTTTTAAGTATGCAGCCAAACGCTGTGGGTGACCAGTGATTTTATTCTCTCAAATTCAATAGTATACCTGTATAAGTAATTCTGTCATTGCAGTCAAAGTATAATCAACTGAATGCATTGCTATGTAAAATGGAAAAATACAAATTTAAATATGAAATTGAAAAATACTACTTTAATATGGAAACCTTTTTATTTTTTATACCATATTCCAGTTGTACTGGAATATTAGGCATACTATACTACATGACACATTGTGGTCATTTTGTAAGATTAATGAACCGTCATGTGATGAAACATCCGAAGTCCAACATGTTTTATGAAAATAAAAGGCTGCAAAACAAGGGAGCAAGTTTTTTGGCAGTTTTAATAGAGATCCAGGTTTAGAAACAGTGTCAAACATTAGCTTGTGCTCATAACGCCAACTAGAAGTTTATTACTGCATTTCATTTATAGAAGGGCTCTGCCATCATTTGAGTGTTCCAGTTCTTCCTTGTTTTTTCCCTGTAAAAGAGGAGATTACACACATAAAAATAACTTCTTGTGTCTTGAAGAGCACCCAGATAGTGAGTCATGACTGTGGCTTCTGTGGAATACGGCAACAATGCTAATATCTGAATCTGATTTATTTCTCCTGTTTAGCATTTATATGTGCATTGCATCCACTGTTCTAGATAATCATAGTTCTGTCAAGTTTTCTATTCTTGGAGTTAATTTCAAACTGATTTCCTCTAAATCAAATAGTATTGGCAGAAGGAAAAGTTAGTGCAAGGGTTACTTTCAGACGGCAACGTGTTAGTCATTGAAGGTTCTGTTGTGGAATCCAAACTGCTATCACACAGGCAAAACATCTGTACTGTTCAACTCTGGGACTATTTTATAAATAAATTACTAAAATATTGCTGGGAAATGTACATGCTGTGTGTTTATGAATACAGCTTTCACAATAACTTTGAAGTGCTTCAAAATGGAAATGACTTACTACACAGATACTTTTAGTGTTTATTCATTTATTATGTATTGAGTATAAATAGTTTAATTGCTACGTTGCAGTTGGTTGTGGAGAACACATTGCTACTCAAGGGTTTGGCATACAACCGTAGCCTATTAAAAACTGGAAAGGACCCTGGAGGTCGTATGATCCAGCCCCCTGCTCAGAGGAGGACCAAATTAGATGAGGTTACTCAAGGCTACATACACTTGATTGTTGAATATCCTTAGGGAGGGAGGTTCCACAGCCTCTCTGAGCAACAACAGTGATTGACCACCCTCACAGCGGAAAAAAGTTCCCTTGTATCTATATATCCCATGTTGCAATTTGCATTCCCTTTTTGAAATTTGTCTTTTCATCACACACTCCAAGAAGAGTCTGGCTCCACACAGACACCCTCCCATTAAGTAGCTGCAGATAGCAGTAAGGTCCCCTTTAGCTTCCCTTCTCCAGGCTGGACAAACCCAGCGCTTGCCGTCTCTCTTTGAATGCCGTGTGCTCCAGCTCTCTGATCATCTTGGTGACATTTGCTGGACTCATCCAAATATTGTATTGTCTGTCTTGTACTGAAGAGCCCAAAAGTGGGCACAGTGCTCCAGATACAGTCTCTCAAGCCCTGAATAGAGGAAAACAACCACTTTTCTTGACCTGCTGGCTATGCAGTTTTCAAGAGTTACGGTTAAAAGACCAGCTTCTACCTTATGAGTGAGTCTGATTGACAATAGTGCTTAGAAAAGGTCTGACAAACTCAGGTTCTTGTAAACTTTCAAACTTCATGAATTTCTCATGAGTAGGTTTAAACATTAGGATTCAAAGACAGTATTTATTATATGAATCTATTTTAAACAATATTTTCATAAAATATCAGCAGTCCCAATGTACAGTGTGCTGTTGCTGGTAATAAGATGTCTGTTTCTTGATAATTAGATGGAAATTTCTTATCTGATAATCCTTTCCATATGCTGGTTCAGAGTATAATGACTTGCTTGTTATAATTGCTACTAAGTGGATAGCTCAATAAAGTTTTTCTATTACCTGCTATAATGCACGGCACAGATCTGTTTCAGCTTGGGTACTTCCTGACTGCAGCAGCTCTAAGGTTGAAGAAATGAGGACAGAGTGGAGGGAAGTGAGAAAGTATTCTGTAATGTGATTAGTGACAGCTTGCCTAATTACCCTACTTGGAAAGCTGGGTCTTATCAGGTCTGCAAGTACTGATAAAAATCTAGGTAAATGAATTATCTAGTGGGCAGTTGCCCTTTCATTGACTCTCATATATATATTTCAAGGAAAAGACATACTCATTTCCCTCTGTGGAAAATTTTTACCTGAAGTTCAAATATTCTGCATGTTTGTTTTTTTCCAGAATACCCATCTCCTCCTTTTCTCAAGACAATATTTATGAAGTCCAGCCTCCAAGAGCTGATAGGAAATCAATAGAGATTTTTCATGCGCACATTCAGGCTGGAAGAGGAAACATGCAGCCTCTGGGAAGAGAGGACTTCCTCATGTACAGAGAGTACATTCGAAACAGATACATGTAAACACAAGCTGGATTCTACTGCCAAGTCTACTGTACTGATAGGTCAGAAAAATAATTTTAGAAAGGAAATCTAGTTTTGTTATTTTGCAGTAATAAATTTATTATCTAAGATTTCTATTTATTATTCATTACTACCACCCATTTACAGTATTGTGCTTTACAGGAAAAAAGTGAATTGATATCTGCTCTTCAGCTGAAAGAGAAAGTGTATCTTAAGGGACTAAGTGAATAATCAGAGTATCTACAATCACTGAAGAGGATGTAGCAGTTTATGGCAAAGAAAGTATTGCATCTTTAGGTTTTTATATTAGTTTCTTACATTCTTGTGTTTGCTAATAAAGCTGAATTGATTTGTACATAAGAATGAGAAGATAATAGTTTTCTTCCTCTTTGTCCATGACAACAGTCTTTTTTATAGCAGAATGTTTTCTGATGTTTCTTGAGATTTTTAGCAAACTGAGTGCTAAATTTAGCAAAATGACTGCTTGTAATTTGCCGCTTTCTAAAGCAAAAGTGAAAAATGCGTGGCTTATGTCAAAATCAAAATTTGCATCAAGAGTAATAAAGTTTGTAACCCTAATTTGTGTCAAAACTAATCTCACTGGTGCTAGTAGCTACAGAATCTGTGTCACATGCAGGGTGAAAAAAGCCTGTGACTAATTATCGTGGGCTTCTAGTAGGAATCTGAGGTGAACCACTTACTGACTGTGTCTGTAAATGAAGCAATGCTCTCCACTTTGCTGAGTTTGGACTCTTAGAGGGCGCAAAACCATCCTGTCATTTTTCTGTATGACAGGCATTATCCTTTTTGCAGCATACTCTTTCCATCGCTGTGCTCCTGTGAGATGCTTTCAGGTTCAAGCCCACAGCCTCCCAAGAAATGAGTATCGGTAAGTGATGTATAGAGGCTGGATCAGCTGAGGTGGTCATGCAAGAGGAAGCAGTAGTTGGGTTATGCAAGACTGAACATCGTGCCCAGTGCTACGTAAGAAGTGGAGAGGCAGCAGCTATCTGAAATAGGTTGTTTAATTTGGGCTTGTGATTAAAACATTTCTCAAATTAAAAAAAAAAAAAAAAAAAGGGAAAAAAAAAAGCCCATTGTTTGCAATTACAAGCTAAAATTCCCAACATTGCTTTCTAGCCCTTTGCCTTGAAGAATACTGACGGTATCAGCAGCATCCTTGACAAACCGTGTTCCTCTGCAAGCTTGTACAGACCGTATTTCAGAATTTTCTGGAATAACTGAATAACTGTTTTAGGGATGTCAGCTATGTACTAGGTGTAGAGAACATCTTTGGGTTTGTAGTACATCACTTGTAGGCAGCTACTGCGGATTCTTGGCTGCATGCTGCAAACATATTCTGCATGTGTTTGAATATTTTATGCAGTGAGTTGCACTTTCGTCAGTAATTCAGTGTAAGAAAAGATGCAACGGGTAAAGGGAAAAGATAGAAGTTTCTTGTGGTAGAAGTTTTTGTGTTTCAGGGAGTGACTTGTATGCAGTCAGAGAACGTGGTGCCTCAAGCAGCCAAAACATTTTGGTGTCCATTCTCTTTTGTTAATGGATTAATATTATTTTGAGAAAAATGGATGTATTTTAGGAGATGCAGGAATTAAATGTTACTTTAGGGAACACTTCATTGCAACTGTCAACAATTTTTGCTCTGAAAAAAAAAAAAAACAACTGTACTGAATTCTTTTGTCCAGTATGAAAAATAATTTGAAGGAATAAATGCTTGCTTTGGAAAAATGTAGAGCTGGAGTCCTTATCCTAATGAGGCAAATGTGTGCTTTTCTTACTGCACTTAAACTAGTGCAAAGAATGTTTTCCAGACTATCACCATCCTTATACTTTTATTGTTCATAGATACTGGTAATTCATAAAAGTTGCCCTTGAAAGTGTACCACTTAACCACAGATAAGGCAAGAGATGATGTTTTCTTTTTTAACATCTTACGTTGTTGCAAAATACAGGAACTGAAAATATGTTCACACTTCAGCAATTCAAATGCTCCTTAGAAAAAGAGGATTAAAGGGCTTTGTTTTTTACGAGTTTTTTGAGAGATGAATGACTCTCGGTCCATTCTCTAATATAATGCCAGGCTTTTCAGTGTCTCTCTAAATGTGTGCCATGACAGTCCCATCGGGGTGTCCCCCTGAATCTTTTAGTATATATAACTGGTGCTTGTTTCGCCTAGGTGCTTACAGGGGTTTAAGCATATGATAGCTTGTATGATCTACCGCCAGTGTACTCTTAGGAGCTGCTAAGCATACTTCAGGGTGCTAAAGTCAACTGTTTACTAGGTTTGTTTAAAAAAAAAAAAAAAAACAGCTCACAAACTAAGACTCCCAGCTTAACACTGCCTGAATGATAAACTTTCAACAGTCTGAATAGATCTGCTGCTTAATGCATGTGAGGGGTTAATTTAAAAAGAAAATACACTCATCACCCATCTAACAAGTTTAGTTCTACAAAGGGACTCCAGAGATGCTGCCTCTGCATCAACCTACTTCATTCTGTTCTCATGATAAGGTTCAGTCCTTAACCATGTTAGAAGTTCTGAATAGATGCATCTGTTTCCCTTTCAGAAGCTGAGGGAAAAGTGTGTAAAATAAGTATAAACACAAAAGAATGGGTTGTGTTGCCTCTGAAGACTAACATGGTGCTCTCTTTTACTCTTGAGTCCTAATGATCATTTTTAACATTAAACTATATGGACAAACAAAATATTTGTGAGAAATGTGTTCGTTTTCCTCTAAAATATATGTAGTTTGTTTCAGTCTGTTTGAAGTTTACATTGAAATACAGTACCAAGATGTACACCTGGGGAATAATGACTTTGGGTTCTTTTCTCGTGGAATCAGGAAGCACAAAAATCAGATTAGGACTCCGTCATTCCTGAGCAGATAGTTCTTTGATGCCAGTCCAACAGGTTAAGCCCTGTTCTGTGACCCTCTTCAGATTGATACTTATTGTCACAGAATGGGTTGGGTTGGAAGGGACCTCAAAGATCATCTAGTTCAACCCCCCTGCCATGGCAAGGACACCTCCCGCTAGACCAGGTTGCTCAAGGCTCCATCCAACCTGCTTGAACACGCCCAGGGAGGGAGCATCCACAACTTCCTCAAGCAACCTGTGCCAGTGTCTCACCAGCCTCAGGGTGAAGAACATCTTCCTTGTATCTAGTCTAACCCCTTCCTCTCCCAGCTTCCAACCATTACCCCTCATCCTGTCACTGCAGGCCCTTGTAAAAAGTCCCTCCCCAGACTTCTTGTGGACCCCCTATAAGCACTGGGAGGCCGCTATAAGGTCTCCC